CCTACACCGCAGCCCATGCCTTGCAGATGGCATCTAGATGTTTATAGCGCTCCCAGCCTACAGTTGGATCAAGCTTAGGCTGCTCCGTCAGGCCTGTTACACACACATTCATACCACCCTCCTCTCACTAGGGCCTCTCTCACTCCACCCCTCTCACAGGGTCTCTTTCATATATCAACGACTCATCCTGCCTTGCTCCCTCTTGGAGTGAACCCCTTAGGCCATAGGCTTAGCTAGTCCATCCCTTGGGTGGCAGACGTACTGTCTTTTTGGCCTCTCCCGTGACCCTCACCGGGGTAGTGACCAGCCAATTACGTGACCAGTTCTAAGCTTGCTCTAGCCCCTTCTGGGGGCAACTCTATATACATCAACATACTGGGCACTCAGCCCTCTGGTTTTCCTTCCCCAGCACTGGGGCTCTTCATCTCTGCCCATTTCTGGGGTCACCCCTCACCAAGGCAGCCTTATCCCCTCACTTAGGGCTCCACACCACCCCCTTCAATCAGGGCTCCAGATCTCTGCCCCCATCACCTGGGGCCACCCCCTCATTAAGATTATTTCTGCCCCCCTCACTGGGGCTCTCACTTGGGGCCATAGGGCTTCACTCCCCAGTGGGCTCAGGTGGCCATAGCCATGCCTGGCCCCACTCTCCCTCCTCAGGGTCTCTTGGGGTCTTGGACCCCACAGGGCTTTGGTGGCCACAGCTGTGCCTGGCCCCCACTCTCCCTCTTCAGGGCCTCTCAGGGTCTTGCACCCAACAGGGCTCAGGTGGCCTCAGCTGTGCCTGGCTCCCTTTCATCAGGGTGATAACTGGCCTGGCATTTCCTGGGGGCTCCTGCACCACTGAGAGCCCCACCAGGCCACCCATTCCCAGCAGGGTGCAGTTTTAGGTCATGCCCAGGACCAGGAGCCTCCAGACCATCCCCTACAGTTCCTCCCTTACCTACAGGATGTTATGGAGCCTCACAGCCAAGCAATGTTGCTGCCTGCCTGCCTGCAGTGAATTTCCTTGTTTATATGGACGGCCAGAGCTCTAAAATGGCCACCGCAATTAAGCACCTGCTGGCTACTTGGCCCCAGGTCTTAAAGTGGCAGGCACAAACAGTGCCCTGCCACATACCTTCCTTCTTGAAATGGTACCTGGGGAAGGTTTCCTCAGCTGCTCCTCCAAAGCAGGCTCCCCTCGGAGCCTGTGACAGCTCTCAAGTGGTGAGCACCCCCAAAGGTGCTCTGCCACACATAGGTTGCACAGAGGCTGAGGATGTGAACCAAGGTGGCCACTGAGTCCAGGTGCAGACCAAGTCTGACAACCCAGGAGTTGGAAGTGAAGGACCAGGTGACCCAGAGCCTACTACATAAGGCCAAGCCTTAGGCCAGAGAAGGGCAGCCTGGCTGGGGGAGCCACTCAGGACAGGACCTCAGCCCTGGGAGGCACAAAGACAGATGTAAAGACTGTGGCAGGGGAACTTAGAAAGAGTCCTAAGCTAAGAGATGTTGCAGACCTGCAAGGAAAGCAAGTTAAGTCCCTTGTGCTCTTTTCTCTTTTGTTTTCTTTCCATGTGGAGTGTGCAACACAGGGGTGAGGATAACCCCTGCTGGACATCACAGTTCCCAGGAGGGGCATTGGCATTTTTGGGTGATTTTCATTTTTTGGCTCATGAAGGATCGGACTGTGGCTGAAGGGAAGGTGGAGACCATGGAAAGGGAGGTGACTGGGGACACCCTGAAATGAAAGCTCAGCTAAGCAGGCAGAGCATAAAGACAGGTACAATTTGGGACTACTAGCATGCAAAGTGCTGAATATCATGAGTTGTGGAACCCAGGTGAGTCACAAAGCATGACCGAAGCTAAAGGCAGGAGCCAGCAGTCTGAAACAATGGGCCGTGAGCTAGAAGGCTCAGCTAGGGTAAAAGTGGGACAGGGCTGGGGAACTCTGGCCCAGGTATGGGTTCATTTAAGCATGCTTTACTCTCCAGGCGGCCTCCGCAGAGTTGACATCAAGACGTGGCAGATGAGAATACTTAAAGGGAGGAATGGACTGAGAGTATGGGCACTGAGGAGTCTCTAAAGGCGGGAACCCTACAGTGACACCCGCGGGCTGTGTACACTTTCATCCCCCAAACTTGTCACGCACAGATCACACTGGCTTGGCCCAGTTTGTTCACAGACATCCATCGTGGTTGGCAGGGATCACTCCTTTGTGCCCCAGATGTCTACAGATGCAGCATTTCCCTGTTTGGGTGCTGATGTCCCATTGACTGCTCTGCCCTTTCTGAGGTCCTCCTTTTCCGCATAGTGCCACCCCCTGCCCAGTCCTCTGTGACTTTGCTTCTCATCTCTGTGGTCATTCACAGTGAAGGAAATCCAGGATGGGAACATCTGGCTTGTGTTAAGCAGCAGGGCAACTAAGACTGCTCTTCCCACAGGGCACCTCTGTCTTCTGAGGGCTGGGCTCAAACCCAGGAGTCCTGGCTCTGACTGCCTAAACCCTTGACCCACAAAACCTCATTGCACTCTGTTTCCCGAAGTGGAGCTGCAGCAATTTTTCTGGCATCAGGAAGAAGGAAGTCTTGCTTTCATTCCTCCAGCTTCCTGCAGCGCTCCCTGCCCCTGTCTGTGGAGCCCGTGCCTGCTGATATGGAAGGGCTTAGGCAGAGGTGGGTGCAGTGCAGGCCTCCTGGGTTCTGCTGAGACATGTTGCTCTGGAGAGCTTTTTCAGAACAAAATGCTCTGGTTCAGAATTTCCTTCTTCCAATGCACACGCAGTACGGCCCCAAGGCAGCTTTTGTGAGCACATGAGGGGCTCAGTGGCAGCGCATTTCAGGCACGGATTCAAAGCACCAGCTGCCAAGGAGGAGAAAAGAGCAGATGCACAAGCCAGGAGTTGCCAGAGAAGCTAAGAGAGTGTCCCTGGCCACTCCACCTGGCTGGGCCATGGCCTTCCTGCACTGTGACACCATGTGAGCCAGGAGGTTGATGCTGATAACACTTATCAGCCTCCTGCCACAGCCTGGGCCCCAAGGGGACTGAGTAGCTAATGGATCCACTGTGAAAATAAGCACAGCAAGGGATCAGTATGTGTGAGCATGCTGGGTGCTGCTTCTGTTATTTCCCCTCTGATTTAGGAGGGGTACAACTGACCCCCCATGGCTCTCCCAGGTGTTAATAGCCAGGGACCAGACAGTTTTCTTCACCGGTTCTCTCCTGTTTGAAGGCCACAACGCTGACCTGTCATGCCTACAGTGACATGATGACCAACCTCAGCAAGGTTCAAGAAGCCTGTTCCAGTGCACCCCAGTACTCTACAGGCATGGTTATCAGGAAGCTTTAATATAAGTCTTACCTGGAATGCATGACAAGTCAATACAGAGCAATGCAATGTCAAACCAAAATATACTCATCAAAGTTACAAATGATAAAATGCTCATAAAAAAATCCTAATACTACACAAAAGAAATCCTGAACACTTCACAATCACTAGCAGGTGGCCAGTCTGCTAGAGGCAGTCTCATCCAAGGCCCAGAGCCTAAGTGCAGAAGCAGCAAGGGTCTTCTGGTATCTGAAGGTGAACCTCAGCACAAGCTGGAGTTCAGGGCTAGAGGGACTCAGTCGCAAGTCAGTGCCTTGCTTGTCTTCCTTCAGTCCGACCACCTGACTTTCAGAGCTGCTAAGTGAGGAGTAATGCACTTATGGCAAATGGATAAACAGAAATTGCAAATACACCCCTGCCGTTGAAGCCCATTCTCACCTCTGCAATATTCTAGCCTCTTACCACTTCCTTCCCTCAGTTTACTGCTTAGCTTGACTCATGCTAAAATATTCCTCCAAAGCATCCTAAGGCCTACAAGAGCTCCACAGCCCAGGCCTGGGGGTTTGCTCTCTTCCATCCCCAAACAGAGGGAGCATGGGACATGGGGGAGGAGGGGGGTGCTTGGGAGGTCATTCCCTGAGGTTAATGGGACCAGCCTGATGTGTCCCCGTGGCAGCCTCCCTGCACTCCTTGCCGCATTTCTCCCTTCCAGAGCTGTACAGCAGGAGTGTCAGATTGACCCACACCCAGGCTGGATCTGGATATCAGGGCTCCTTAAGGACCAGGTCGGGGCAAGGCAGCATCACTGAGGGGAATGGTGGGGGCAGCCATTGGTTTCATGCAGTCATGTATTGTCCCAGGCTCAGTTCCCTGGATACCAACGGAAGACCTGCCCCCACATCTCTTTCACAGAGCCAGTGTTGACCTTTATCTGGGGCTGGTCTGACTTAAACGGTTTTCAGTCCAAAGCCTTTTCCAGCGCATCATCAGTCATGTCCTCCAGAAAAAAACAGAAACATGAAGTATGAGGTTGGGAAAGAAATGGTGGATGCTTCCCTGGAACCTATTATGAGACCCAATATGGGGATGGCCTTCAGGAGCAGCAAAGGGTATTGCACTGCCTCAGTTGCTGCCTTGGGCAGGAGCTTAATGATGAGATGTCTTGTGATTTCATGGGCCAGGGGGAACTTCAGCACATCTGTCAGCTCTTTGATGGTCTCCTTAGTCTGCCTAGAAAGCTTGGCAAGGGACTTTTCATCCAGGTCAGATTCCCAGTACTGTTTCAGGAATGTCACCAGATAACTTCATCTAAAACAGTAGAAAGGCCTAACAGAGGAAGAGTAGGAGCTCCTAAGGAATATAAACTTCAGCCATATCTGTGCATCAGGTGTTTCTTTTTCTTCTTCAAGGCTCCTTTAGAGAAGTTGGGCAGAAAACAGAGAGAAGTGATTGTGAGTGGGGAGCTCGTCCACAAGAGTATCCTGAAGCTTGGGAGAATCGTACTTGATAAACTGCCACCTTGAGACAAGGAAAAACTGTGCCGATTCCACCCATCCTGCTTGCAAGCTTTTGATGCACTTATCTTGCTTAGCAGGTAGGATTGCAGTTTCGTGTTCTTGATGTACTGAGGTGGGCGCAAAGCAGAAGCTTGACTTTGGGGTATTTTGGGTGTGGCAAAGGAGCAGGCTTGGATGTTTTTTTCATCACTCCTATGTCAGCTCCACCCTCATCTCCATCATTCTGGGTGTGCACAGCATTGATGAAGGATGACTTGCCAGAGCCTGGGATCTGTGTGATAGCAACATTGAGACTAACATTTTCTCCATTATCCTGCATACCTTGGGTATTTTCTTCTTCTACCATGAGATCTCCTTTCTTTAGTATGGCCTTCAGCTTCTCCAGCTCCTCTTGGGGTATATGGGAAAAAGCTTCAGGATCTAAACCCTCACTGGCACTGGCCATGGCAGATCCTGTAACTTGCTGCAAGGACCTGGGAGGTGGAAAGGAAAGGATCTCATTAGGGTTGGCTGGCTTGTAGCAGGAGGGAGGAGAACTGAGCTCAGGGATGAGCTGCAGGGAAGGCAGCCTTAGTGCTCCCATCTCAGGGTGAGCAGGCCAGTGATTACCCTGACCAACTCCCTTGTGGGGGCTCAGATTCACCACCTGGGGGGTGCAGCAAACTCTATTGAACCACCATTTGGCTTTCCTAGGAGGGCACTTGCTCCAGGCACTGCTCAGAGCTGTGGACACCTCCTATTGCAAAGCCGGCCCAATCCAACCCTGGCTTACAGAGGGAGAGGCAGCAGCAAAGGGCCTTGAGACAGGAAGAGCCCTGCCCTTTCTCACCCCAGCCTCTGCATCAGGATTTCCTGCAGCAGGCTCAGTCTTCCTGGGGGGTGTGCCCTTCCCAGAAAAGACTCCCAGTGTTTGGTGGGTCTCTGGCATTGCAGGCTCATTGCTTCACAGGAAAGCAGTCAACTGTGACTCCCCATTGCCAGAGCAGCCACATCTCACAAGCTGGTGCTGGGCAGGGATGCTGAGAGATTCAGGTACCCATCCCTATAGGGTGGGGTCCCAGCTGCGACTCCCTGAGCCCTGGACATATCAGGGACAGAGAGCTGCTGTGCTGTCTGCTCCCTTGGTGTGCTAGAGCTGTACTGGGATGGCATTCATCTACAGGGAGAGTCTGCCCTTGAACACCTATCACTGTCATCCCTAGGTCAGCTTCAGGGGCTTGACACATGAAAGACAACATTCAAATAATTTAAGCAAGTATCAAAAGTGAGAGATAATCCAGAAGAGGAAAAGGAATATCCCTGTAAATGACAGCTTTGGGGGATAGAGTCACAGGGTCACAGAGAAATCAGGCCAGAAGGGAGCTCCCATGTCATCCTGTCCACCCCCATGTTCAAAGCAGCAGCATCCCTATCCAGAGAAGAAAGGGTAGTGAGATGACAGGGGACAGGAAATCAAAGAGTGTATTTGGGTAGCTCGGACCATGGGGAGAGGGAAGGAGCTGCTTCGCCCTGAGGTCTCATGGTGGGATCAGGCAGGGCCAGATTTAGACCTCCCATTAGGCACGTGATCTTCAGTGCCACCTGTACAGACATGGAGAGGGGGGTGGGGGGGTCGCATGCAGTTGGATGCGGAGCAGGGAGCTGGGCACGGTGCACAAGTGAGCGGAGATGGAGCGCTGCCTCCTCCCAGGAGCAGGGCCGGGGTGGGGCGAGGGGAGCTGGTGGGTGATGGTGGTGCTACTTCGGCACCCCTAGGCACGTGCCTACTTTGCCTTATGGGTAATCCAACCCTGGGATCAGGCACATTTGAGACTGCGAACCAGGTGGGAGGGTCAGAGGGATATATGACCGTCTCCACTGGAGCATAGGGAGGTGAGAGAGAGAGAGAGAGAGAGAGCAGGTGATCTGCAGCTACTGGAAGTGGTTTGTTTGTTTTTTCCCCCTTACACAATACATATTAAATACTGGTTTTAAACTGCTGGCAAAAGAAGAAATTTGTGACATCAAGGGGTAGATCCAGGGCAGTTTGAGTGGTATAATTGTCTCCAATTTGATTCCAATTCCACCCAAAATTTAAAACCAGGAGAGGGGCAGGCTGGGGACTGCCTAAGCAGCATCTCTGCAGAAAAGGACTGGGGGGGAGGGAGGAGGGGTTACAGTGGAAAAGAAGCTGAATAGGAGCCAGCAGTGTACCCTTGTTGCCAAGAATCCTAATGGCATCCTGGGCTGCATTAGTAACTGCATTGCCAGCAGATCAAGGGAAGTGATTTTTCCCCTCTATTCAGCACTGGTGCGGCCGCATCTGGAGTCTTGTGTCCAGTTTTGGGGCCCCCACTACAGAAAGGATGTGGACAAGTTGGAGAGAGGCCAGCGGAGGACAACAAAAATGGTTTGGAGGCTGGAGAGCATGACTTATGAGGAGAGGCTGAGGGAACTGAGCTTACTTAGTCTGCAGAAGAGATGACTGAGGAAGGATTTAATAGCAGCCTTCAACTCCCTGAAGGGTCATTGAAAAGAGGATGAAGCTGGACTGTTCTCAGTGGTGGCAGATGACAGAACAAGGAGCAATGGTCTCATGTTGAAGCAAAGGAAGTTGAGGTTGGATATAGGAAAACTTTCTCCCTAGGAGGGTAGTAAAGCACTGGAACAGGTTACCTAGAGAGGTGGTAGAATCTCCATCCTTGGAGGTTTTTAAGATCTGTGTAGACAAAGCCTTGACTGGGACGATCTCTTTGGGGGCAGTCCTGCTTTGAGCAGAGGGTTGGACTTGATATTACCTCCTGAGGTCCCTTCCAGCCCTAATTTTATATTATTCTATGATTATCTCAAATGTACAAGTGTAGCCTTTGGATGCCAAAGGAAATGGTTGTTTGAAGAGTGTGACATCTGATCACCAAGCTCATGGTTTATCAAGAAGTCATGATCACCACCTTACTGTATGGAGCTGAGACATGGACAAGATACAGGAGACACCTCAAGTCACTGGAGAAGTACCATCAGCTGTTTGTGGACAATCCTTTGAATCCAGTGGTAGACAGATGCACCAACATTAGCATCCACTCACAGGCAAACACCCTGTGCATTGAGATGTCGATCATCTGATATCAACTTTATTGTGCCGGCCACATCATCCAGATATCCAACTCCAGAGTTTGAAACCTTACAATGACAACAGGAGATGGAAAAATGGGAGTGGCAGAAACAGTATGTTGTGGACTTAACCAAGCACCCAGAGACATCCACCCTGCACAGACATGTGCCTAAGCTGTATCAGGGTCTGTTGATCCTGGCTCAGCTTCTTCACGCATCTTCAGACCCATAGATAAGACAATCATCCTCAACTGTGAGAGATAGCCAATGTTGAATAAAGCACTTGAACAAGTTACCCACAGAGGTTGTGGAATCTCCACCTCTTTAGGCTTTTAAGACCTGGCTAGGCAAAGCCTTGTCTGGAAGGATATAATTGGGGGTGGTCCTGTTTGAGCAGTGGGTTGGACTAGATGTGACCTTCTGAGGTCCCTTCTAACCGTAATTTTTTATGACTCAATCATTCTGTGATTCGAAGATGCTCCAGGATACTAGATTGTGTATTACACATCCGAAGAAGTGATGTTTACTTATCTGTAATGACTACAGGACTAACAAAACAGTATCTTTTTACCCCTTTTCCCTAATTTTCATTGTTTATTTAAGCTCACTATATAATCTAGCAATTAGTGCACATTCCAGTAATGTACTCAGTTTTTCATTTATCTTAACAGAATAATATAGCTCCAAGCCCATAGCATATAAGTAAATCTTCTGGCTTCTCTTTAGCTGGAGATAAATCATAGAATCATAAAACCATAGAGAATGAGGGTTGGAAGGGATGTCAGGAGGTCACATCTAGTCCAAACCCCTGCTCAAAGCAGGACCAGCCCCAACTACTTCATCCCAGCCAAAGCTTTGTCTAGCTGGGTTTTGAAAACCTCCAAGGATGGAGAGTCCACCACCTCTCTGGGTAGCCTGTTCCAGTGCTTTACTACCCTCCTAGTGAGAAAATTCTTCCTAATATCTAATCTAAACTTCCCTTGTATTGTGTTGCTGCACCATACCCCTCTACCCCACTTTTTAAAGTCCTAGATCCAGTCATGGTGATATCTCTGACTCCAGCATAGTTACATGATCTCTGTGAACTCAATTTCTGCTCTGTAGGATCTAGCCTGCTTAGCAAACAGCAGTGGCTTTGGGCCGGAAGCACAAAGACTAGCTAGGGAGCAAAGAGGATCTCTTACCTTCCCCAGAGGGCTCTTCTGGGAAGTGCCTTGGTCTCTTGTCCCTCTGCAGGCTCCTTTTTGCTCATATCAGCCACTCAGTTTCTCTCTCTGTCTCTCTCAAGTTCCTCTTTCAATTATATAAGGTCTGCCTAAGCTGCAAAGTGAAAGAATGCAATGTGCTGAGGAAGCCAAGCTGGCACCCATCCCAGGGGCACCACAGGACTGGGGGTAGGTCTGCTCCCACTGCTCCATCAGACCCTTCATGTACCACCTTGTCTTTAAAGAACCCCCTATTCTCCATCAAGGCATCAGTGCAAGCAGGGGGCTGCTGGAGACAAAGCCTGAGAAAATATGAAAGAGGGAGAGGAGGGTGCAGGGCAATGCAAAGGAGTCAGAGCTGCTCAACAGCCGCTTGGGCTCAGTCTTCCCAAAACATGAGGCTGAAGCCAGATGGCTAAGAAGGACTGTTTAGATAAGGACAGGAACAGCTGAGGGGTGAGATAAGGAGAGAGGCAGTCCTAGAGTTTCAGAAGGGTCTGAATGATTTCATGTCAGCAGGGCCTGACGAGTCGTGCCCCCCCGCAGTACTGGAGTAACTAAGAGAGGAGACCTTGGAGCCCTGGGCAATACTATTTACAAAGTCATGGGAGAGAGGTGAGGTACCAGAGGACTGGAGAAGGTGCAACATTGTGTCCCTCTTTTAAAAAGGCAAAACTACTCAGTGGGGAACTACAGAATATTTAGCTTCACCTCACTGGGATGCTGCAGGAACGTATCCTAAGGAAGACCATTTGCAAGTATCTGGAGGAGGAAAGGTTGATCGCAAGCCACGAGCATTGATTTATGAAGAAGAAAATATGTCAAACAAACCTGATCTCCTTCTTTGACAATGTAACTTGTGGGGGGTGAAGAGAACGCTCTGGATATTGTGTGTAGGGACTTCAGGAGGCTTTTGACAAGGTCCCACGTGACCTTCTCATAAATAAATTGGACATGTGTGGGCTGGATAAAACTACTATAATTTGGATAGATAAATGGCAGGAGGTTTTGAGTGGAGTCTCACAGAGGTTGGTCCTGGGACCACTGCTGTTCAGGATGTTTATTAATGGTTTGAATCTGGTATAGGAGGTTTCTTGAGCAAGTTTGCTGATGATGTGAACCTGGGAAGGACTGTGAACATGTTGGAGGATGAGAACACAGTTCAGATGGATTTTGACAGACTAGAAAGCTGGATTGGAGCACAGGCGGATTAATGCACGGGCCAGCTGGGCACGAGCCCAGGGGCCCCTACCAATTCAGGGCCCCAGCCCCAGGATTAGGGTAGCCATCAGAGAGGACATTCCAGTTTTCTGCTACTCTGTCCTCTGTCCTCTACTGATATGAAACTGGATGTGAAACTCCTACTCTGTCCTCTGTCCTCTATTGATATGAACTGGATTACAACCTCCCAAGACCCCCCCCAGCACCACTGCCCATCTGCAGGGATGTGGCGCAGTGTGGCACTCCTGGCCCGGTGCTTCCACAAGGCGCTGTGTGGCACTCCCAGCCGGCCTGGCCCAGCCCAGCCACACAGCCGGCCCGGTTTCATATTTTTCTCTTGAAGAGAAAAATAGAGCCCATAAAGGCATCTGGCTTTGTATCAATAGAGGACAAAGGACAACCAGACTGTCCTCTATGATGGCCACCCTACCTGGGATCCTTATCAGCAGGGAAGAGAAAGCGGGGTTTTAAACTTGGTGCATTTTTGTCTCCCAGCAGGGACACAAAAATTGTGCCAAGTTGAAAACCCCAGCTTTCACATTTGTTTCTCTGCAGCTGGGAGTGGAGCCCCTCACCCAATGGGGCTGGGGGGACAGGCTGGGGCTGGGCCAGCTGGGAGTGCCAGAAAGCACCTTGTCCGCGGTGCAAACCCTAGACCAGGAGTGCCATACTGGGCAGCATCCCTGCAGGCAGGTGGTGGCGCTGGGGGGGGGGGGGGGTGTCTTGGGAGGTTGTAGCCCCCCAAAATTCACCTTAGCCCCTATATCTGCCCCTTCCAGTGCAAAGGCATGGCACGGCATTGTTCTCCCAGCCCAGCCCAGCCCTGCAGGTCTGTGCAACAGAGGCCAGACAGGAATGAGACAGAGCCATAGGTGGCTTGTGGTGGGGGGAGGGGGAAGTTGGGAGAGGGGTGGGGTCTGTCTCATAGTGATTAGTGATCAAGAGAGAGTGGGGGTTGGGGGAGGTCCTGTGGGGGGAAAGTGTGTGGCCAGGCTGGGTGTGCATGTGTCTGTGTGCATGTTTCTGGGTGGGGGGGGTGTGCCTGCTTGTGTGTGTGTGTGTGTGCGCGCGCGTGCGCATGTGAGTTTGTGTGTGTGTGTGCGTTTGCCTGCGTGTCTGTGTGCGTCTGTGTATGTGCGTCTGTATGTGTGGGCATGTCTGTGCATGTGTGAGTGTGTGCATTTGTGTCTCTGTGTGTGCATTAGGGTGGCCAATATAGATGACATTCCAGTTTTCTGCTACTGTCCTCTGTCCCCTAATGATATGAAACCTGATGCCTTTATGTCCTCTATTTTTCTCTTGAAGAGAAAATAGAGAACATAAAGAGAAAAATAGAGGACATAAAGGCATCAGGTTTCGTATCAGTAGGGGGCAGAGGGCAAATAGATGGCCACCCTACTGTGCATCTGTTTGTGTATGTGCGTGCATGTGTCTGTTTGTGTCTGTGTGTGCACATGTGTGTGTGTGTGTGTGTGTGTGCTCATGGCAGGGAGAGTGTGTTTGCGTCTCTGTGTCCATGTGCAGAAAGTGAGTGAGTAGAGTGTGTGCCTGTCTGCATCTGTGTGTGAGTCTGTGTGTGTGTGTCTGTGTGCACTTCTGTGTGTGCGAGTGTGCCTGTGTTCATAGCAGGCAGAGTGTGTTTGTGCCTGTGTGCCCATGGGCAGAGTGAGTGAGAATAGAGTGCACACCCATCTGTGTATGCCTGTGTGTGTGCACATTGGGCCATAGCAGAGGAGGGGAGTGGGGAGCAGGGAGAAGAGGCGGGCATGTGCCCCCGCTCCAGCCCAGCAGGGTCCACCCAGCCTCTCCCCGCAGCACCAGGAGAGGAAGAGACACCTTCCTCCACTGCAACCCAGCACCCCTGGGGAGAGGAGGCCTTCAATTTTGTGTTTGCCCAGGGCCCCAGCACACCTTAATCTGCCTCTGGGCTGGAGTTAACAGGATGAAATAAAGGTAAGGTGCTGCAGCTCAGAAAGAATAATCAAAAACACAAATATAAAATGGGGGACACCTGGCTGGGTGGCAAGTCTTTGGAAAAGGACTTGGGAGTCTTTGTAGACCCCAGACTCCATATGAGTGTGATGCAGCTGCTCAAAAGATGACTGTGGTTTTGGGCTGCATTAATAGAAGCATGAGGTGCAAGACATGGGACGTGATAATACCTCTCTACTTGGCACTGGTTAGGCCTCATCTGGATACTGTGTCCAGAGAGTCAAGAGTTGGGTGACAAAATGATGAAGAGCTTGAAGGAAAATTACAGGAGAGGCTGAAGTAAGTCCAAATATTCAGCCATAAGGAAGAGGGAGAAGGTTTTGGGGTTTTTACTAAGGCGGAAGGCTACCCATTGCTCATCCTGCTGACAAGGGCCTAATACCTGCTCTGACCTCCCCTTCCCTCCCCTCCCCTCCCCGGGTCCCATGCCTTCCAGATGTTTCTCTGATGTTACTTCTCCAGCCTATGGGCATAGCAAACTCTTGTATTTTTCCATCAAGGCATGGCAGGAGAGTGAGTGGGAGGTTACCCCAGGAGTAGGGTGGCCAGCAAAGACCTGACAAGGAGGCTACCTTGTTACAGTCTCCAAATGACCTATCGCAACACATCCTGTTGATAACTTGGAGACCTTTATTGATGCACAGTAGCAGCATATGACAATTATAGAAAGCAAGCAAGCAAATGATCTTACCATACACAATGAGGCCAGGACTGGGGCCCAGAAGCTGAGGTCTAGTACAGTGGACCTTGGGCTAGGGTGGGGGCAGGCAAAAAAAAAGGGGGATGAAGCCCCAACAAAGATTTGAGTCATGAGGGGATGAGTGCAGAGTCAGGACCAAAGACTTCCCCAAAAACTGAGTAACATTTGAGAGGTGTGATGATGGGGGTCTGGAGGTCACAATTATTGTTTCTAAGGCACAACTGGGGCTGCCTTAGAGGGGAAACCCACCCTATGGAGCTTGGAGACAGAAGCCCCCAGGGCTGTACACAGAGGAAAGGCACCCAGCCAAAGGCTACCCCAGTCTCTGGAGGTGGACTCCCCAGGTAAATACTGTAAGATTAGATTGTGGAAGGTGAGAGATAGGAGGTAAAGGGAAGTTGGGGAGAATGGGCAGGCAGGTCTGACCACTGAGGGCATCAGATACCAGAAACATGGCCTGAATCTGTCATGCTTCCCCACCATTACAGATCCTCCCAGTGCCTACAGCACAGCTCCACTCCCCACTTCCACATTACCTGAACTAGACCTTGTGTGAGTCCCTTGTGTATGCCTGTTCACACAATCACAGACCTCCCATGCATCTCAAAAAAAAAATAGATATAAAGAACACAAAAAAATCCCCTCACCCCTAGCACCAAGCCCACCCCTAGCATCCAGCATGCTGGTGGTACCCTCCCAGAATCTCCAGGTACCAGCACATAATGCAGCCACAAGTGCATGCAACTTCACTGCCTCTCCAGTTCTGCCACAAGGTGCTTGTGTTGGACTTTCAAGGCCTCGTAGAGGCGGTCCTTGCATGCCCTGTTCCAGCTGGGCACCAGGTCATACAACCTGCGCATCTTGTCCTGGTTGGTGGCCTCAGCCCTGATTCTCTGGTACTGCTCCTCATCTAAAAGGAGCCCGTAGAGTTTGTCCAGGAGGGCATCCATGCCGGTGACACGCTGGATCAGCTGCTTTCGTTGTCTGTCAATGAAATGTAGATCTGTAGGGGGAGCGGGAGGGGGCAGGCAGGAGATGTGGAAATGCAGTGGGTTTGTTACAAAATTGTCTCTGCTTTGTACATTCCCCTGGGGGCAGGCCTTCTTTAGGTCTCCTTGGGGTGACAAGCTCCTATTGGTGACCTGTACTGTGCTTCCTGTCCTGTGCTCCCTGCCTGCTCTGCTGCTCTGCTTTCTGCTCCGTGCCCTTTCTGCTGCTGTACTCCATCCCCTCCCTGGTCTCCCATGTTTCATCCCCAGAGGCTGCCTGTGCTTGTAGCACCCCTCAGCTATGAGGCAGTGATGCCCTATTAGCCCCTACTGACCTGCTTGTTCCTCAGGTGATGAGCGGGCTCGCTGGACATCCTCTGGAAAAGAGAAGAGACGGGGAGGGTCAGAGCACAGGCAGAGGGATTTGATGCATTTTGATGTTTTTGAGGACCATATAAGGAGTGCTATTTCCAGTGCATTCTGCCTTTCTGATACAGACTAAAGGAACTCTTGCTGAAGGTGTGACAGCCCGGATCAGTAGGGCTGTGCAAAGCTTCGGTCCCTGATTTGATTCAGTGGAGATTCAGCCTGATTCGGTGGCTGAATCTCTGAATGTGAACCAAATCAGAGGACCCTTTAAACTCTCCGAATCAAATCGGAACCCTCCGACTTGATTAGGAAAGATTCAGAGATTCGGACATAGAGACAGCTTTAAATGTACTTCCTGTCCACTTCCGGGTTTACCACCAAGCACATGGAGGGCCCCCCCCCCGTTAGGCATTCCATGTGCCCCAGCATTACAGCAATCACGAGCTGCACCTGCTACCTCAAGGTATGCAGAAAAGATTTTTAAAGCTGCATCTATGTCTGAATCGCTGAGTCTCCGAATTAGCATCGAATCTTCAGATTCAGATTTGGCCGAATAGAATCAGGGACAGTGATCTAAATCAATGAATCAAATCACTGTCCCTGATTCAGGCCAAATCTGAACCCAACTTGAATAGGGCCTGCTTCGCACACCCCTACTGATCAGGCCACGTGCACTACCATAACATACAGCAGGCAAGTGGGGCACATCTCCTGGGGCACAGGGCTGTCTAAGGTAGGGGTGGGCAATTATTTTGGCTGACATTTGCCACCAGAGGTCCTTCCCCTTGCCCTGGAAGTGCTCCTTTTGGGAGGGGACTGTGCCATGCTGAAACTGGAAAAAAACAAATCATATACTAAAAAAATCAAACATCTACTATGACTTATTTAAAATTTATTTTTAAACTATTTTTGTCATGATTTATGTGTGTTTGCATCATATATCTAGAGATGACTACATAATAGCTCAAAATACAGTCCAACTTGTATATTGTGTGGGGTGGGTAAAGGGGTACATGTGGCCAGGTGTGGTTGGGGAGTGGGTGTGGGGGGGTGTGTGGGTATGGTGGATGGGGTGTGTAGGCGAGGGTGGGGTTGGAGGGGTGTGGGTGTGGGTTATGTGGTTAGGGTGGGGGTATGTGGGAGTGTGGGTGTGTGTGTTGGTATGGTGGGGTGGAGGGTATGGGAGTGTATGTGGGGGCTGTGGGAGGGTGTCAGTGTGTGTGGATATGGTGAGGGTGGGGGGTGTAGGAGTGTGTGTGGGGACCGTAAGTTATGGTTGGGGGTTGGAGTGTGCGTGGGAGTTCTGGGTGTGTGTGGGGAGGGGGGTCCTCAGAGTCTCAGGAGCGAGCAAGTCCAGCCCACCTAGTTCCCTAGCACTCTGCTGCTCTGCTGTTTCTTGCCTTGTACTCCTTGCCCCATCTGTTGTGCTGTTTTCTGCTCTCTGCCCTATTCTCTCAGCATTATCAGCTGCTCTGCTTCATGCTTCCTGGCCCATCTGCCACTTTGCTGCTCACTTCTTCACTGATCTGCCTTGTGCCACATGTAGAAGCAGCCCATGGCACTGGTGATGTGTGCCATGGGTTAGCCACCCCTGGTTTAGTTGATGGATGTTGGTTAAATGAGTATCATCATGGGCAACTGGTGTTTCCCGAGTCTGGGGGGCACCAGATTGCTGACGGGGGGTGTCCCCCAGTGGCTGATGACCAACCCGGTGGGAGCGGGGGTCAGTTCCTTGGTGGCCAATTGCTGAGCCAGTGGCAAAACTGGAAGTGCACTTCCAGTTTCACGGCTGGTGCTTCCAGCTGTGGGAGGGTGCCAATGAGTATCATCCTGGGGCCTGGGAACAGCATAGAGACAGCTGGTTCACTCCTCTCCTTATTGCACACTATGATGTTAAAAGCCCAGCCTCACCTTTGTGCTAGGAACTAATAGAAGTTCTTTAGCTGCCTTCACTGGTGAAAGAAAAGCATCCCACAATACCTACCTACTCTCACTGTGGTCTCCCAGAGAATTTCAGTAGAAGAAACTTCTGTGATATGGAGCTTGATGCCCATCTTCATGTCCCTGGTATAGACTTCAATGAAGGGCTGCAACCTCTCTTGGTTTGGATAACAGAACTTGAGTTTCTGTGGCAAAGACAAGAGCAGGCTCTGAGGGAGGAGAATCAGCCTGGGTGGTGTGGAAGCTCAATGAGGTCCTGAAAGCAATGACTGTAATCTCTTGTCTACCAAATGCCTCCACGAAAAATATACACCCAGTTTTAGGAAGGCTGTATGTAGTTAAAAAGATAGGCAAGGATGACTGTGGGACACAGAATAAAACCTTCTGGAAACATAGGCTGTCCAGGAAGTGTGGTATCCCAGGACATACTTTAGGACAGCAGCAGCTTCCTGGGGGGAATTTTTTTATTTCATATCCATGTTACAGTCCCTGAAGGGTGACAAGAGAGAGGATGGAGATGGTTTTTTCTCTGTGGCCACAAGAGACAGGATTAGGAGTAACAGTCTCAAGTTTCAGCAGAGGAAATTGAGGTTGCCTATGAGGAGGGACTTTCTGACCATGAGGGTGGTTCAATGGTGTAACAGGCTGCCCAGAGCAGCTGTGGTGTCTCCATCCATGGAAGTTTTCAAGATCAGACTGGACAGATGCTCGGTTGGGGTGGTTGAGTCAGGGATGACCCTACCTTAAGCAGGGGGCTGGACTGGATGTGACCTCATGAGGTCCCATCGAGCCCAACTTTCCTATGATCTTGTGATTCAAATGGCACCAGGATCTCATCCCCCTCCCTGGAATCCACCTTCTGTTCCTTGCCCTCCAAAGCCCTGACCAAGGCAAGCGAAGGCTTAAAAATCTTCATAGCAGTAAGGCACACTGCTCACCTTAGGTAGTATCTCTGTGTTTGGAGAACTGGCCACGGAGTAATTTCTGTCAACGTACAGGGCTTCATCCATCTGAGGAGGCTTGTTTAGGAGCACTGCATTGTACTTCTCCTCATGTTCTTCCACAGCCTGTGAAGAGGTTTCCAAGTTCTATCACTTTAATTAGATCAGTGTTTCTCAATCTTTTCAGACCCCAAGCCCCCCTCTAGAGACTCCAGGCCACACCCAGAAAATGTCAGCTCTTTTTCACTCTTTTTTGAGTATAGAAAAACACTACAGAAAAATACTAGAGCAATTCTCGTGTTACAAAGAACTCAGAAAGACCCCAGAAGGGCAGGATACTTTTAACACTATGGAATCCTCTTTGAAATCTCTGGATTACCTTTGTGAATCATGTTTGTAGACATAACCATGCTCACATTACATTAAGTATCATCTATCTATCTATCTATCTATCTATCTTTTTTCTAAAGAATGAAAGCCTGGAAAACCTGGCAACGTGCGTCTGTGTGTGTGTGTGTGTGTGTGTTTTAACCTTATACCAAGTTACTTCACAAGAACAGAAGAGGGGAAAAACCCTGTTTCCCACTTCTGCTAAGGGTGGGAAGAGATCTTATATGTCTACTGGGATAAACCAACAGAGCCAGAAAGGCAAGAATTGTGAATGAGGGTAGATTTTAACAGTGAACTGATTAGAGGAGGAAAAGATTTTACTACATCCTTCATGCATTAACATCCAAGTTATCCACCCATTATATCCAAGGGCAAAGTACAAGATTCCCAGATAAGGAGGCAGGAAGTCTATGCTGCCATATTGCCAGCTACATCTGTACAATTCCCACTGGGATTGCATCTTTGAATCACGGAAGAAAAGTGTCGGTGCATTAAGCCGCTCACAAAACCCTGATTAGCAGGGTGATGTGTGTACACACCAGTCTCAAGAGATTTGTTTTGTGTTTCAGAGTGAACAAAGGTGTAACTAAGCATGTTTGCGAATGCTTGAAGAGCTGAGGCTGGATGACCTGGGCTATGATGCAGCTGGCCCCTGTTACACAGACAAGTTGCTGTATATTTGGCTTTCCTTTTCACAGGTTTATGGGTTAACATAATACTTTCTGCTGGGCACAGAGGAGAGAGCAGGAGCCTCATAAAATGGAAAGGCTAATGAAGAAGAGAGAGGGAGACAAAAATGGGGGGCACAGGGGAGGAAAGGAGGGATCTGTTAATCCAGGCACTCGGGGCTTCCACAAATTCCTCTGGGAGTATTAAAGAGAAGGAGGCAGCAGATCCATTAAACAAGCAAGTGAGGAATGAAGAGGCCAAGAATGTAACCAAAGCATTTCTGTAGTGTTAAGAGAGTCCCCATTTTCAAGAAGGGGAGGAAGGAGGACCCGGGCAACTATAGGCCAGTCAGTCTCACCTCCATCCTTGGCAAAGTCTTTGAAAAAATTATCAAGGCTCACATTTGCGAGAGCCCGGCAGGACAAATTATGCTGAGTGGAAACCAGCACGGGTTCGTGGCAGGCAGATCGTGCCTGACCAATCTAGACTCTTTTTATGACCAGGTTACGAAACGCCTGGACACAGGAGGAGGGGTGGATGTCGTATACTTAGACTTCAGGAACTTAACTTGTTCACCATACCGGTGAACAAGTTAAGAGGCTGTGACTTGGATGACTACACAGTCCGGTGGGTGGTGGATTGGCTAGAGGGTCGCACCCAGAGAGTCGTGGTGGATGGGTCGGTTTCGACCTGGAAGGGTGTGGGCAGTGGGGTCCCGCAGGGCTCGGTCCTGGGACCGATTCTCTTTAATGTCTTCATCAGCGACTTGGACGAGGGAGTGAAGTGTACTCTGTCCAAGTTTGCGGATGACACAAAGCTATGGGGAGATGTGGACTCGCCGGAGGGCAGGGAACAGCGGCAAGCAGATCTGGACAGGTTGGACAAGTGGGCAGAAAACAACAGAATGCAGTTCAACAAGGAGAAATGCAAAGCGCTGCACCTAGGGAGAAAAAATGTCCAGCACACCTACTGCCTAGGAAATGCCCTGCTGGGTGGCACGGAAGCGGAAAAGGATCTTGGAGTCCTAGTGGACTCCAAGATGAACATGAGTCAGCAGTGTGACGAAGCCATCAGAAAAGCCAATGGCACTTTATCGTGCATCAGCAGATGCATGACGAATAGGTCCAAGGAGGTGATACTTCCCCTCTATCGGGCACTGGTCAGACCGCAGTTGGAGTACTGCGTGCAATTCTGGGCACCG